CTAGAACCTACTACTAACCAAATCACTATAATTTCTAATTGCCTTTTCCTTCTCCTTCTCCTTCTTCTCCTCCCCTTATTTCTTCCTTCTCCCCCCCCCCCAGTCTCTGTCTTTTTCTCCTCCTCCTTCTTTTTCATCTTTTTCTCTTCCTCTTCCCCTTCCTCCACATTATTCTTCTGGGTTTCTCTGTGTAACAAACCTAGCTGTCCTAGAACTCACTTCATAGACCAGGCTGGCCTCAAACTCACAGAGCTCAGGATGCCCTTGCCTCAGAGTGGGGTGCTGGGATTAAAGGTGTGGACCATGGTGCCTGACTTTTAACTACATTCTTAATTCTCATCCTTGTGGCCATAGATGTGTGTGGCTCTTGCTTCTTCTTGCAGCAAAGACTGTTTTACAAAGCCATAATTGGTCACTATGCAGAGAACAACAGACCATGGGGTGCCCCACTACAACTCAGAGGACATTGTTGAATCACAGGGGTTGTGGTGGAAAGATTGGGAGAGCTAGTAAGGACTAGTGTGTCAGCTGAACGATAGTATGATGAAGCTGCACTCATGAAATCTCAATTATATGGTTGCTAAAACAAAACTGAATAATAAGTATAAGCACCAGTCCACATGAGAAATTTTGAAGGGGAATTCTCTCAATGTCCCTTCTCTAGATGAATGGTTATAGGCAATTATGATGGCAGAGACAAAGGGAAATAAAAAAATAAATGCTTTTGTTTTCTGTAGGCAAAGTTAATTTAGTGCTTATTTTGCATATATCACATGATTTTCGGATATGGGAGTATATTTCACTACTGAAGAGGTATTAATTTAGAATACTAGCTCAATATTCCCAACTCCTAAAATTTGATATTTCTTCTCTTCTCTATCTGGGTATTTACAGCAGTATGTGATGTTTTATTTCCATACACCAATTATGAGTAGATTCCATAAGAAACTTACACATCACATATCACATCCTGTAACATTTTCAGAACAATTCCAATTCAGTAAAATATATCAAGGTCCAATTTCCCCAATATTAGACAGAAAAGAGGAGGTGATGGGAGGTATCATTCTGTAAATATGTTTCTCTTATTGGTTAATGAATAAAGCACTGTTGGCAAATAGGAAGGCAAAATAGGAGACAAGGAGGATTCTGGGAGATTTAGGAGGGGAATCAAGATGTAGGGACTTGAGAGGAAGAGGTCTGGGCCCTCTCTCCAGTAAGATAAGACCACGTGGAAACACTTAGATTAATAGAAATGGGTTAATATTTAAGACAGAGCTAGCCAATAAGAAATGCTAGTAACAGGTCAACAGCTTTATATCTCATACAGTGTCTCAGTGTGTTATTTGGGGCTGGTGCAGCTTTGGGACAAGGCTGATGGGAAAACTGCTTGTAGCAGGTGGACAATGAAGAAACTCCACCCCAAAAAGTGGTAATGCTAGCCCCTGAGCAATCCTGTCTTTCATCTCTACTGCTGCAAAGCACTCTTCAAACCATGGACAAGAGTTCAGTGGAATCAACTTGCTCCATGTTACTAATGTCAATAGTAGGCAAGTCTTCCTGAATCTCCTAATTAATCCACAGGCCCTAAGCAGAAGGTGAGGGTCCTTAAAGCCTCTGCCCTCAAAAACTGTGGAGGACTATGGGAGTGGTTGTCCATGTGGCCAGCTAGCAAATCTCTCTCATTCTCTAACAAATAACTCAGGTACATCTGTTCAACCATTAATAGCAGCATTATTTGTAATAGCCAGAACCTGGAAGCAACACACATGCCCCTCAAGTGAAGAATGGATAAAGAAGATGTGGTACATTTATACAATGGAGTACTATTCAGCATTCAGAGTGGGGAAAAAATCCAATAGAATCTTGAAATTCGCAGACAAATGGACAGAACTGGAAGAAACTATCCTGAATAAGGTAACCCAATCACAAAAAGACAAACATGGTATGTACTCACTCATATATAGATTTTAGACATAGATCAAAGGATTACCAGCCTGCAATCCACACCCCCAGAAAAGCTAGGAAACTAGGAGGACACTAAGAGAGACATTCATGGTCCCCTGGAGAAGAGAAAAAGGGACAAGATCTCCCGAGCAAATTGGGAGCATGGGGGAGGGGAGAGGGAGTTAGGAGAAAGAGAGGGGGAGAGGAGGATATGAGGGAACAGGAAGATTGAGTCAGGGAAAGGATATAGAAGAGCAAGAAAAGAGATACCATGATGGAGGTAGCCATTATAGGGTTAAAGAGAAATCTGGCACTAGGGAAATGTCCAGAGATCTACAAGGATGGCTCCAACTAACAATCTTAATAATAGTGGAGAGGCTACCTTAAATGCCCTTCCATGATAAAGAGATTGATGACTACCTTATATGCCATCCTAGAGCCTTCATCCAGTAGCTGATGGAAACAGAAGCAGACACTCACAGCTAAACACTGAACTGAACTCCTGGAATCCCGTTGCAGAGAGGGAGGAGTGAGGAGCAAAGGCTGGAGAACCCCAAGACACAGCTGATCTGAACAAGGGGGAGCTCATGCACCGGAGTCTGATAGTGGGAAACCAACATAGGACCAACCCAGACCCCCTGAATGTGGCTGTCAGTTAGGAGGACTGGGCATTCTATGGGGTCTCTGGTAGTGGACCAGTATTTATCCCTTGTATATGAAAGGACTTTGGGAGCCCGTTCCACATAGAGGGTTACTCTCTCAGCCTAGACATATGGGGGAGGGCCTAGGCCCTGCTCCAAATAATATAACAGACTTTGAAGACTCCCCATGGAAGGCCTCACCCTCCCTTATGAGCAGAAAGGGGATGGGATGGGGTTGGGGGTAAAGGGGAGGAGAGGAGGATGAGGGAACTGGGATTGACATGTAAAACAAGCTTGTTTCAAATTTAAATAAAAATATTATCATTAAAACAAAACCCTCCCATACAAAGGGGACAAGTTCACTAACTTATACCCCAAACTTACCCAGAGTTTTTTTTTTTTTTTTTTTTTTTTAATTGTCCACTGGTAACACTGGTAACCCAAGAATGGGTTACCTATAAGAAAAGGGGGGAATGTGATGGAAATTAAGAACTAGAAAGCCCAAGGCCACCACCAACTGTGTCAACATCTCCCTTGCCCCATTATCTTGAGAGAACAGAGAACTAGATGGCTTCTTGACCTACAGGTTGTTAAAAAAGAAATACCTAGCTCACAGGTGTGCTAATCAATCTTGCCTAAATGGATGTCAGTTACTGTTCTCTTTAATCCATGATGACCTTGTATGGAAACTTTGTGTGCTGTGAAATCTCTGTAACCAAGGAAACTCTGAAATTTGTGGCTTTCAGCCTTGTGGTCTGCTCCCTTAAAAGCTTCCCTTTATGGCTGGTTGACATCTCATTCCCTCACCATGTAGTGAGATCCAAGCTGGCCAGATTGAACAATAAAGAGAAACCTTTGTGTTTGCAAACAAACAAACAAACAAACAAACAAACAAAAAAGAACTCAGTACTAGGAACTCTGATGCAGTTTGACGGCTACTAGGTTTCAGTGTAACTTCTTACCATTCCCTTGTTTAAAAATGTTTTAAGGTATAATGTTTATGCAGAACATAAAAGCTTAAGATGTATGAATCTAAAACTGTTTTAAGGTATAAGAAAGTAACTTAAGTGGACAAAGCAGCCTTACAGACTACAGCCAGGATTTCTGCATCTTCTTAGAATCCCCCATGACTGCGCCCCTTACCAGCAGGAAGTAGTTTGGAAAGAACGATGCCCAAATTCCCAAATATTGTCTATAAATTTTTGTTTTCATTTAAATGGACTTGGTTATATAAAATAAATAAATAAATAAATAAAAAAGAAAGTAACTTAATGTGTACAAACTCAAGTTATCAGATTTCTTTATCTCGTTATCCTACACTGCTCATAGTCTTAACATTAGTCAATGAAGTTCTGATAAGCTATTAATCCAATTCTGACAGGGTACTAAACACCATGCTATACCAGTATAAGATCATAACTGCAAGCTCAAAAGTAAGGTGTTTTTCATTGTGCTAAAGATATCTGTCAGTTTTAAGAGTGTTAATGCTTTCAACCAAAATCATTTCTGACTACAATGCACAGATCAGAAACAATGTAATTGCTAATATGTCTAAAATTTATGTTCTCACAAACTCAAAGGATTCTTGTAAGTTCCAGGGAGCTAAATTGGACCAAACCAAACAGGTTAGATTCACTCCAGATAAATATTATTCAACCATTCCCTGGTTCCAGGACTCACTTCCTTCATCTTGGGACCCCTTGGTAACCCCTCCTTCATTTTATGATCCTCCTCCCCTCAAGTACCATGGCCTAAGAAAACATTTTTTCCTAAACCTAACCTTGTACTGCCAACATCTTGCCAGGTTTAAGAAGCGCCAGAGACTTCCATACGGCTGGAACTGCAAAGAAACAACCTGCTACCCCAGGATGTCCCCCAAAGATGGTCAACAACTCCAGGTCAGCAGGAAGTAGTCTTAAGAACATCCTTAGTCCCTAACCTGCCACACCTAACTTCTCACCTTTTTAATAAGAAATAAAGGTGGCAATGTAAGGACTCAGGCATTATGCTGGCCTGTCCATGTCACCTGGCAGAATGCACTCAGTCAGTACCCTGGTCAGTCCAGGTTTCCATGACTACTAGTCTGCACACCAGTGCAAAGGACCCCTTTAAAAGAAAGACCCCTGCCCACTTACTATCTCTTTTTCCTGCTGTTTCCCTGGGGCAGACAGGACTTTTCCTGTCTCCCTCTTTTCTTCTGTCCTCTCTCTGTGTCTTTTATCTCTTTTCTCTTTCCTTCCTCCCTCCCCTTTCTAATAAATCTTCTCAGTTAAGCTCTGTCTGCCTGGCATGTTTCTGCCTCGGTCAACCTTGCCTGTTATGGAATCTGCCAAGATCACCCATGCAATGTTCACCATGAACTTTATAATAACAGGCCCCCGGAGTACAGGAATTACTTCAGATCCCCCTTACCTGTGTTTACTGTGATGTTTTCTCTAGGAATGTCGATTAACCAGAGAGCTCGGTTGTTGAACTTCAAGAAGAAAAAAAGCAAACATTATTTTACAACATTAAAACAACACTTACTTTGGCATATTCTGGCCATCATTTAAAAAGGAAAATCAGTCAAAAATATCTAAATATGCACACATATGTACACTTACAGGTAAAGGGTTTTCAATAGCAAATTTCACTGGTAGGGATTTTTTCCTCATATTACACTCACATAAGAGTGACCCCCCTCTCTCTCTCTTCCTCATATTCAAGGATATTATGCATCATTCTTTGTAATAGCAGGTTGACAGAAATGCTGGATATAATACATACATACATACATACATTTCCACATGGTGGAACAGTCCAGGAAGCACAATGCTAAAGTGTTAGGCACCTGATGAGTCAGAGTCAAGGCATTGGGCTGGCAGAGCATTTGGAAATGTAAGTGGGGAACCCCAGGAAGAAGAGAACACTTAGCATGGGAGCTCTAAAGTTTACATTGTAAACATGTCTAAGTTCCCCTGCTACTGCAGCATAGAGGACACTCCCAGGACCACTTTAAAAAGAAAATCAGTGGAAGCCGGACAACCATCAGAACTACAGGAAAGACACCTTCATTTCTTTCTGTTTTACTAAGGAAATGATCTGCTGTTTAGACAAACAGTAAAAATAGCATTTCTTAGAAGAATGAACCAGGATCCAGAGTTGTCACAACATGTCACCTACAGTATCCAGTTTCCAACCAAAACAATGACAATAAGGAATTGTAACGAGTTCGGTTTTTCTGCCCGCTGCCGCTGGTCTTGTCCCGCCGCCATGTCGCCAGCCCCAAATAATACACAGAGACTCTGTATTTGATATTATCCTGTTGGCCAGTTACTAGTTTCTTATCGGCTAGCTCTGTCTTAATTATTAACCCATTTTTGTTGATCTATGTATTTCTCTTACCGGGGAGCCGGTGGCACACTGCTTTCTTCAGACTCTCCATCTTGACTCCTCCTTACTACTTCCTATTTCCTCCTTGTCTCCTAGTCCCTCCTATCCTCCTTTCCTATTGGCCAACAGTGCTTTATTATTAACCAGTATGAGAAACATATATACATAATGGCATCTCCCATCAAGGAATAACTGGCAAATGTCACTGATATTAGGGGGCAAATGTACACAGTCAGTTGACTCAGTCTGGCTAAGAGGCAATGGATTAAATGTTATGTTTGCAAATCTGTGCATGCACTGAAGGAAACTGTCCCCAAAAAGTGAATGTGTAGATAATGACAAACAGAGTAGAAAGGATACACAAACAAAACAAATGCAAGCAATAAAGCTTAAGTAGAACAAATCAAGTAAAATACATACTAAATAGGTTCAATAGGAGACTGAATAAGATAGACAAGGAAAAATGAACTCAGAGATATACAACTGAGCCAATAATAAAGGGAAAGGAAGCAGTAGCATGGCTGGAGATGATAATAATGTTCTAGTATTTCAAAATGTTAAAAAGCAGGACTTTAATGTTTTTTACCATAAGAATGAGATGCTATCTCAAACAAAAGAAACTACAACATCAAACAAAAGCAAGAGGAAAAATGATTCATGTTTGAGGAGTGAGTGTATCATGATAAATAAAAGACCCAGAAACAGATATTGGGGTTCAAACTTCAAGCTAAAGGTCAGAAAAGCAATGTAGCAGACCATCAGCTCTTACAACTACCTCAAGCTGAATGGGCTGATCCCTCTGCCTCTCCTCAGTGTGGCTAGAGAATCCTGAGACTGAATGTCTTCCTATCCTCAGTGTGGTTGGAGAATGAATGCTCAATACTGAGACCTTGCTCCTGTCTTATATACCTCCCTAATGTTGGGATTAAAGGCATGTGATCCCAGGTGCTAAATTCATCTTTGTGTGAGCTGTTTCTCTTAAGACTGGATCAATCCTGTGTAGATCTGGATGGATTTGAACTCAACAGAGATTGGTCTACCTCTTAATCCTTAGTCCTTCTATTAAAGGTGTGTACCACCATGACCTACTTTTGGATGCTGGGATTAAAGGTATATATTATCACTGTCTGATCTCTGTAGCTTGAGGCTGACTTTGCTTTCTGAATACTCAGGCATGCTTTATTAAATCATAAATAATATATCACCACTAGAGAGTATAGTTAGTGTAATGTAAATAGTAAATAATAGGTACATATATTGAAACACTATCTGATACCCCACTTAAACATGCAATTTTTATACTTTCCTGTATCAGTGAAATTTAGAAAAAAATGGAAGTGCCTAAAGACTCAGTGTGTGATGGGAGATGTCATTCTGTATATGTTTCTCATACTGGTTAATAAATAAAGCACTGTTGGCCAATAGGAAAGGAGGATAGGAGGGACTAGGAGACAAGGAGGAAGAGGAAGTAGTAAGGAGTCAGCATGGAGAGACCAGGGAGACCAGATGCCTGCCCCACTCCCCGGTAAGGAGACCACGTGGAAATACATAGAAATGGGTTAAACTTAAGACAGAGCTAGCTGATAAGAAAGTAGTACCTGGCTGACAGCATAATATCAAATACAGAGTCTCTGTGTGTTATTTGGGGCTGGTGCGGTGGCGGGACCAAATCAGTGGCGGAAGGTGGAAAAACCTATACACCTTACAAGTGTGTTTATTTGGGAGTTGTTGGTGGAACAAAAACTTTTGCCTACAAGAGAGTCCTATCCTGACTGTGTCTATGTTTTAAACGTTTTACCAGCCCCTCAAATTGTTTTCTTTTTTTTTTTTTCACTGTTACTGTATAGTTTATTTAAACCAAACATGGTAATACAGAGAAGAGACTGAGGTGGCAGCTGTCCAGAATCTTTGTGGGTTACAGATGCAAAACAGCTATGAGTCTTTGGACCCACACTTCAGTAACAGACAAATCAGCTGCATAAACACAGAACATGAGACATAAGACATTTCACAGCTTTTTGCTTGTATTTCCATTTTAAACACTCATATGTGACAACTTTACATTTAAGTTACTACTCCACATATGTATGACAACGGCTAAGGATTTAATGATCCCACCCCTCCCCTTGACATAAGTAGACATTGATCCGTAACACAGAACATTTCAGTGGGATACTAAATAAACCCTTAACATATAACAGAAAAAAAAAAGATCCTTAAAATCCAGACTAATACAGTCTTCATGTTAAGTGAAGATGGCCAGGAAGTGGGGATACCAGATGTCAGTGGGTCCTATAGTCAGACAGTATCTTGAAGTCTTAAAAGTTGCATTCCCTTCCTCCAAAGGGAAAATGAATTTTTAACTAATTAAAAAAAGAAAGCAACATCATAAGGCCCTAGACCTAGAAGAACACTATTCTGACAGTGCTTAGATTCTTCCGTATAATAGATACAGCAGGTAGCAGAGCAAATGTCACAAGTATTGGCTTGGTTTTCAATTTCTATGCCTATATATGTATATATATATTAAAAATACTAAGCCTCTTTATGCGGACTGAATGGGTACTAGCCTGTAGGTGTTGGTCTTCCATGCCTGTACATCAATGGCTATTTCTGCTCCAGGCCCAGCCTATAATGGACTCTGCTTCCAGCTGTCTGTCCGTCATTACCCAGGAGGGAGCTCTTGTCTTCCTTTTACTACATACAGCAGGGTCCCTCATTCAGTTACTTGCTCACGTGTTCCGGAAGAACATAGGAAATATCATCCCATGGGTGACGATATAGCCCCTGCTTCAGCCTCTTCTGATCAAATAGTGCCCAATGAAGCCCATACTCCTTCCTAGCACAAAGATGCCATTGAGAGCTCCAATATCAATGTATTCATCAGCTTCGTCCCGGGTGAAGGAGCCACAGTTCCTAAGCATGTCCACAAATGCGACGCCGCCAATGAAACCGTCCACATTCAGGATAAGATTCGGCTTCGTTGAGGTGGTGATCTTCTCCACTTCCAGTGCGTAATCGAGCAGTGGGGTGGCGGAAGTGCTGTTTGACAAAGTCTTTGAGGATCTGCACTCGCATGTCTGGGTTGTTTATCGATTTCACCCGGTGGCCAATACCCATGATCAGTTTTCCTTCCTTCTTCATCTTGTTCACAAACTCCATAGGAATAATGCCACCGTCAAAGGCTTTACTGAACATCTTTGCTGCTGCATCCAAGGCACCCCCAAACCGATCTCCAATGGTGAGCAGCCCTGATGTGAGGCTGGAGACCAGGTCCTTTCCAGCCCGAGCACAGATGATGGTGTTGTGGGCCCCAGAGACAGCTGGCCCGTGATCAGCTGTCACCATCAGATACATCTCAATGAACTGGCAGGAATACTTGGGCAACCTTCTCTGGAACCAGAGGAGGCCGAGGACGCCACCGATGCCCATCTCTTCCTTGAAGACCTCAGTGATGGGCATGCCTGCATAAATGAGTTCCTGTCCTCGCTCATCACAGATGCTGGTCATGAATGAGGCAGGTTTTCGGATCAAACCTAGCTCCCTGGCCCAAGAGTAGTCCATGGGCACTGTTGGAGGTGACACTTCCTGAGCAGGTACAATGGCTCCTTTGGCCACAAGATCTTCATACACGGACTGAATGATTCCTCCCAGTTCATCAAAGCTGCGGGGCACAAATACTCCTGCCTCCTTCAAGGCCTGGTTCTTGGCTACTGCGGTTTCAGAAGCATGGTTGGCACAAGCTCCAGCATGGCCAAACTGGACCTCAGAGGAGAACATGGTGGCACAGGTCCCAATGCACCAGCAGACCACTGGCTTGGTGAGGCGGCCCTCCTTGATGCCCCGGCAGATCTTATACTCCTCTGTGCCCCCAATTTCCCCAAGAACTACAATCATCTTGACTCCTGGAGTGCCCTGGTACCGAAGCACATGATCCATGAATGTGGAGCCGGGGTATCTGTCCCCACCGATGGCCACACCCTCATAGACACCATCTGTGGTCTGAGAGATGATATTGTTGAGTTCATTTGACATGCCTCCAGAACGGGAGACATAGGCCACACTGCCTGGGCGATATAGTTTGGAGGCCAGGATGTTATCCAGCATCCCACCAGTATTCCCAATCTTAAAGCATCTGGGCTTGATGCCCCCAACCGTTGCTGGCCCAATGATGGTCACTCCCTTTTGGTCGGCCTTCTTGATGAGCTTCCGTGTAAGAGCCTCAGGGATGCCTTCTGCTATGATGGCTATAGTACGGATCTGGGCATAGCTCATGGTCTCCATGGTGCTGTCATAAGCGGATCGCAGAGAGGCGAAGTTGATCAGCACGTCTACTTCTGGGTGCTTTTTCATGGCATCAGCCATGTTCTTAAAGACAGGGATCAGGATTTCTTTATGTCCCCAGTAAAACTTCTGCTTGTGATCGCCAGTGAAGGAGTAGACTATGGCAGCCACTGAGGGCTTATCTCGGGAACACACGTAGTCGAAGTCCAGCATGCCTTGCACAGCCCGCGTCTGCATGCCCCACACGATAGCCTTGGTATCGGCTGAAGAGGGTGGCACTCTTTCCTTGGGGCATGGCTGGTTTGGCTTTCTTTGCAGGTGCCACTTCCTCAGCTCTAGTCTCAGAAAAAGACGCTGTCCGGCTGGTGCTGGAGTCGATGTGCTCCCACTGGCATTAAGGAGGAAATTGGCAGTATGAGCTGCTGTGGGTGGCTGGTTGGGAATGGGCCGATGGCCCAGGGCCATGCCCACAATAGCCGTCATGTGAGTTTCTGTGCCAAAGACATGGATGGGGATTCCAGTGATCTTCCCAACTTCTCCCATCACCCGTAATCCCTCATGATAGTTGGGGCCACCTCTTCAGACAAAGATTGTAACCTCATGCTCCTTCAGAGGACCCTGGTAATCTCGAATTGCTCTCACAATGCCCTTGAAGGTGGCAGCCACATTGGTGAAGTTTGCGATGCTGCTTCCAGTGATGAGGATCCTGCTGCCATCTGGGTGCTTCTCTCGAGTCATAAGTGAGAGGATGGTCTTGGCATAGTCATAGGTCTGCTGTTCACTGGGAGCACCTGAGTGCTCCCCGTAATTCGACAGCTCATTGACACCTCCAAGATCACAGATGGTATCACTGTACACGACGGAGGCGCCGCCCCCAGCAACCATGGTCCAGATCCGCCCCTTGGGGTTCAGCAATGTCAGCTTCTAGCTTGCCCGACTTTTGGCATCCAGGTCGGCAATGTAGGCTTCCTCCGGATATGCTTCACGCCCAAATAGGGGAGGGAATGCTATATCACCCCACTTCACTTTGCAGATGTAGTCAGCCGTGGCATCCACCTTGGCCACCAAGTCAAGGATGTAGACACCATCTTTGGTCACCACAAGGGGGTTGATCTCAAGGTAGGTAAAGTACAGATCCTCGTAGAAATTGAACAGGCCAGAGATGAAGCTGGCCAGGATTTCTTTCTTGTCTTCAGGAGCGTGGACCAACAGGTGCCTTTTAATGTTCTCAGTGTTCAGCTTCTCATCCACACCCACAAGCAGCGTCTGGGCTTTGGTATCCACATCGCCCACATCCACACCCCCTTCATGGTGGAATAGGACGTAGTCTCCTTCCCGAGTAGCATAGATACACACATAGAACTCTTCCGCCTGACTGTGGGGGACGAAAGGTTCAATGAGAAAGTTCTTGAGGAAGCCTTTGGCTTTGCCGACAGTGGCCTCATGTCCCAGTCGAGGTTTTAGCCAGGATTTGACTCCATCCAGAGTGAGGTTGACCCCGACTAGGCCAAGCTTTCCTCGACGTTTGATCAGCTGGTCTGGCTTGACTACCAGGCTCTGGCTGAGCAGCCAGGGGTGGTCATGCAGCAGATGCGTCCAGTCGGTGTCAGGAGTAACCCGGGCATACTTGAACCGATTCTGGATGGCAGAGGTGGTACAGATGTACTTGTTCAGGAGTTCTTTGCCAGTCTGCTCTGAAATTACCTTGGCTGACATGGCTGCAGACAGATCCGGTTTACCTTTTCAAGAAAGCCCGAAAGCGGCTCCCTACGTCCGCAAGCCCCAAGTCACCCCAACTCTCCGGATCGCTCCAGCCCCTCAAATTGTTTTCATGTTTAAATATTAAACAATCAACTCTAGCTATTCCAAAAATGACTATAGACTCTTATGTACTGTAGTGTACAAAAATGGGTGACAGAGTTGTTCAAAGTATAGAAATACAGTGAAAAGTATAGATACCTGATATTGGGGCAAACCTGTAAGATCTTGGGTCAGGCAATGATTTTTCTACACATGTCACAAAATGCACAAAGTAACAAAACTAAAATATCCCCCAAAGGAAAAAAAAGTATATATTGAAGGATGGGAGAATATAAATGATAGAGCAGACAAAATATTAGCAAATTATACATCTTAGAAGCAACTTGCACCTGGAATATATAAGCAGCATGTATAAATTACCTATGATAACATAAAAAAAACCCACATTAAGAGTGGGAAAGGAATCAGAATAGCCATTTCCTCCCAGAAGATATTCAAGTAACCAGTAAGCAAAGGTGAAATGGGAAGCATTAATGACATGCAAGTCAAAACCATGATAAGGTAGCATTTTATATATACTAGAGGATTATCACAACCATTGGTGAGGATGTAGACAAATGTGTCTGAGCAGTCAGGGGTAGGAAACAGAAAGAGTCCTACCACTTTAAAAAACAGCAGCTCCTCACTCTATCACCCAACTATTCCATTCCTGGCCACGTAACCCAAATAAACAAAAACCCATTTCCACAAGAAGAACCATATATGCAGCAGCATCACTTATTAGAGCAACAGATAGAAACAAGTCCACCATTCATCTTCTGGTGGATAAACAAAATGTGCAATGTCTACAGCAGAGTTTTACCTGCTCATAAAAAGAACAAAGCATTGACATTTCCCTTGCTATGCTGGAGCTTGAGCACATTATGAAAGCTGAAGGAGGCAGTTACAGACACTATGCATTGTATCTTGTTTATATGGACTTGAAGAATTAGAGTCTTTGGAGAGGGAGGGAGAGCACAGGTACAACAGTGGTTGCTTGGGGTGGGAGAATCTGGAAGGAGACTGGGGAGTGACTGTTAATGACTTCATGGTGTCCTTCAAGATAATGAAATGTTCTGGAATTGTTTGCTAGTGATTGTGCATGACTCTGCCTTCACTAAAACCAATGAACTATATACTTTCAGTGGGTGAGTTGAATGGAATGTGAATTTATCTTGATAAAGTTGTTTAAAATTAATGTATAATTTGACAGATGATGGTTATCAACTCCAGTTCACTGCCTATGACAAGTGCTGAAAGAAATTGAAGCCAAAGGAAATGATGTCAGATGTACAGAAGCAATAGAAACAACTGCTTAAAATGCATTTTTAAGAAAATACGTTTTTAAAGGGGGTGCAAAGAAAGATTTTTCCTTTATTTATTTAAATTTGAAACAAAGTTGTTTTACATGTCAATCCTAAGTCCCATCCTCCCCTATCACCCCCACGAACCCCAGCCCATCCACTTTCTGCTCCCCAGGGAGGGTGAGGCCTTCCAAGGGGAGCCTTGAAAGTCTGTCATATCATTTGGTGCAGAGCCTAGGCCTCCCCTATATGTATAAGATGAGACAGTATCCTTCTATGTGGAATGGGTTCCTAAAGTCCATTCGTATATTAGGGATAAATACTGATCCATTACCAGAGGTCCCATAGGCTGCCCAGTCCTCCTAACTAACACACACATTCAGGGGGGCTGGCTCAGTCTTATGCTGATTTCTAAGCCGTCAGACTAGGGTGCCTGAGCTCCCCCTTGTTCAGGTCAGCTGCTTCTAAGGGTTTCTCCATCCTGGTTTTGACCCATTTGCTCATCAGCAGAGAAAGATTTTTGTTATGTATTCAGACTGACCTTGAACATACAGCCATCCTCATGAAGCTAGCTCAGGAATGGCACAGTTAGAGGCATGTGCTATTATGCCTTGTTAATGTGTTTTTATCATCATCATCACTTTCAAAACTTCACCACCACCATCATCATTATTTTCTTTTTAAATAGCACTTCAATACTATATGATTTCTAAATTACTGTGTTTGTAGGCAGATTTATTCTGTCCCACCTGCCAACTCCTAACCAACCACAAGGAGACTTTTTATTAATCATGAATTTTGGTCTATAACTTAGCATCGTTTTCAACTAGTTTTTATAATTCAAATCTATGTTCTTTTTTGTGGCTTGGTTACCTTTTATTTTGTAAAGATCATGCTTCTTACTTTGTGTCCCTGGTGTTGTTTTGCAGCTCTGCCCTTCTTCCCAGCATTGTCTCTGCCTCCAAAATCCTACCTAACTCTTGTCTATTTTGCTTTTTTTAAACCAATCACAGTGGCATATCTTCACACAGTGTGAAGTAATATTGAACATGTATTATTGGATTCAAACACTTGTGGAGCTACAACATTACTGCATTTCCAACTTGTAAAAAGACATCCAATTAGAGAGTATGCTTCTTCTCATTAGTGTACCACAGTATAAAACAAAGCATAATTACCAGAGATAACTTAAAGTGGAAGTGATCATGGTATGTATTGTTCATGATTATCAGCTTGGGAGCAATGCCTCCTGATGTAAATACACTCAAAATTGCCCTGGAAGAATCCGTGGTCTCACTTCGGAAAAAACAGTAGACTTTCTTTAGGAAAGAAAGAAATATAACAAGTAATGAGAATTTGATATGTAGAAGCATATTATATTAAATTATTCGTGAGGATAAGTTTGCAAAATCAGTTACTGATAAAACTTTCTCTCGTTAATGATGACCTTCACCAGTGGGGAAAACCTATTTTTACAAGAATGTCCTGAGAACTCAGGAACCTATTTAGTGTTCTAAGGTTTTTCAATCCATCCTTATGAGTCTGTTTAATCATAAAAATGCAAAGTTTACAATTTTCATAATCATAAAGTGAACATAAACTAGTCTCACATGTAGAAAATATGATATTACCAAAATGGATGCTTTGTGACCAAATAAAAAGAGAATTAAATTTATTGTACACTTCCTAGTTTTAAAAGGTATGTGGAAAGCAGGCAGAGATGGACATATACAATCATCCCAGGGATGTTTGCTCTGGGTAGGGAGAAGAAATCAAGGGCCTGAGAAATGACAATAGGACTGAGAAGGGAGAGGCAGACCCAGACAGACAGACCCAGAGACAGGCAGGCAGGCAGGCAGACAGACATACATACAAACACAGAAACAGACAGAAAAAAAGACAGACGGACAGACACACACACACACACACACACACACACACACACACACACACACACACACACCAAGGCCATTTTTCCTAGGCAGGGAAATAACTAAGGGCCAGCCCAGTGCCTGCTGTACCAGGCAGGCGAGCACCATCACGGTGAGGAAATTCATGATGGGATTCGGGAGAGAGAGAGAGAGAAGCTGAATGGCTCCTGTGCTGTAGTAGACTGATCTGTAGACAGATCTCAAGAGATGAAGGTGTTGAGGAACAGGCTACTGTGGGAGTCCTGCTTGCCACATGGGGCCATGGTGATGTTGGGTCCTAGACTGCTCCTAAGGTTCTCACTGGGTTCATGCCCTGGAGCAGCCACAGTCTGTTGATATTCATGACTTCTGTAACCACCAACTTGTTTATGCTCAAGGTCTGGGATGCCCCCAAATATGGCCACATCGGTGTCCATGGGCTATGCCACAGCAAGGACCATCCCAATCTGCATTGTCAGAGCTACTCCCTGGAACCATGGAGACAGGATAGGGCCACATTGGATCTGTGACCTACCACAGCAAAGGTCTGTGATATCTATGGCACCCATTACCATTGAAGGTCATGTGGATGCCCAGGGTCTGGGCTCCCAAAGGAAACCGTTTGGCTATCCAAGGGTCACCTTTCAGCAAAGTTGGTGCAGATCTGAGTGGACTGTGCAGGCATCCAGGTCCATGGTGCACAGGGCGTTTCCTAGGAAATATCTAGGTCTGTGGTCTTCCAGCAGCTGCAGTCTGTTGATGTTCACAAACTACATTATCATTAAGGGCCACTAGGAGGTCTGGCTTCTGAGTTGCCACATATAGCCATATTGAGAACTAAGGGCTAAGCAGCTGTTGGGCCATGAACCTAATAACTCTGTAAAATCCAGAGATTCAGTGTATCTTTGTAGTACACATATGGAGATGCAGAAAAACATTCTTACAAAAATAAATAAATAATACTACCAATAATTTTTAAAAGTCAAAACACCAAAACTAAACTGTTTGGGAATCTGTGTCAGGGCATATACCCACAAATAGCATACCCAAGAGTTTATCCCAGCTTAGTAAGTCTACATTCCTTTTTCTATAGACAAAATGTCACAGACGTCTCAAGAGTAGTAAATTAAAAACCTAAATTAAGTGTATATTTGGTATATCAAACAGGAATTAGGGATTAAGTTAAAGGAGACATAGGGATGAATTATGCATTTCTGTGGGATGTTATTCTGAGTGTTTATTGTATTTGTTATCTATATTCAGATAATCTGTGCATTTTAAATTAACATTTGCTTTTTCTAGCAATTGCTAGAAGGATTTTCATGTGTGTGAGTAAGCACACATGTGCATACGTGTGTGTGTGTGTGTGTGTGTATTTGTGTTGAACACAAGGCTTTGAGCATGTCAAGCACTCCACCACTGAGCCTTATACTGTGACCATCTTAATATTCTGTTTTATTTTATCTTATTGTATTGTTTGATTGCTGAAAAGTCTCCCATAACTGGGATGGAAAGGTCATACCATCCCTTACAAGTGCAACATGGTCCTTGTTACACAAGGATTCTTTCTTTCTTAAGGTCATGTGAGGTAAGTTTCTCTCACAGGGTTATTCTGTCAAACTTCTTTCAAAAGAACTAATTGGTTCCATATCAGATGAAGACTGTTACAGCTGGTCTAGAAAGAGAGGCAGACATCATTTATTAAAAACACTCACAGAGCATGGCTACCCAGGATGCTCAGTAGCTAAATGAAACATACTACCTTATCCAAATACAGACAATTCCACTGAATCTCACCTTCCTGTCTGGACAGGAAAGACACTGAAGAGACTGCAGTGCCATTGCGTTCATACCTGGCCTTAAAGGGACCAAGGGGCTAGAATACACACAGTTAGTGGACTTTACCAGATTGCCAGTGGTAAGAAACAGCTTGATTATTTTCTTGTCTGTGGGGACCTCATTACTGGAACAAGAAAAGTGGTTGGTATTCTCATCTAAACAAACAAATAAACAAATATGTAAAAATAGAAGACCTTGCATAAAAAGTATCATAGTTTTCAAATGATAAAACATGTTTTATCCTTTTATTGTTTTGGAGACAATGCTTCTCTGAGTACCCCTTGTAACCCAGTACTTTCTTGGTAGATCAGCTTGACTTGAACTCAGCAATCCCACAAGAGCTATGGTTAACGGTATGTGCATCCACTACAGGGTGATTATACACTCTTTAAAGAATAAGAATTATGGCCAGTTTCCAGTGAGATCCCACTACCCTGCAAAACCTTCTCAAGTTCCAGCCCAGCCCTCGTCCTCTTCTGCCGGCTATTGGCCAGAGGTGAGTCTGGGCCCAATCGGGGCTGCCTGTCCCCTTCAACCTCTTTACCCCCCTCCCCCCGCCTGAACTCCCTGGATTGGCCCCTGATCCTGCTGCTCCTGTCTCCGGTCCCCTTTGAGAGCACCCTTGGAGCTCTGATACACCCCCACCCATCCCAACCTCCAGCCTACCCCCCCCACCCTGTGCCCTACCCCACCTACGGTCCTGCCGCTCTGGTTGAGCACTGGGACAGAGGGTGGAGCCAACAGTCCACCCTACTTCGGAGACCTCTCAGAGCAACTCCGAACAAAGGAGACCTGACTATCCACGTGGGACCACCTGTAATTTCCACCGGCTTGGTCCCTGACCCCGCCTCCAGTCCTCTGCTGGAGTCCCAGGCCCCCTCCCAGAGATCCGCCTATCTCAGCGGGTCCACTTGGAGTTCCTGCAGGCAAGATCCTTGACCCCCAAATCCGGGCCCTGCCAAAGAACGAGGTCTCAGCTGGAGAGCGCCAGTTTCCAGTGAGATCCCACTACCCTGCAAAACCTTCTCAAGTTCCAGTCCAGCCCTCGTCCTCTTCTCCCGGCTATTGGCCAGAGAGAAGCCTCCTAGAGAGCTTGGACCACACAGAGATACAGACATTGAATCTTTGATCCACATAAGCCCATCTGGGAAGGACCATAGAGAGAGGGAAGAGACACCACCAACACCTACAGGAAGAAACTATGGGAAGAAGGCAATACAAGAGAACACCTAACAACAGAAAGACAAACATGACACCACCAGAATCTAGGGAATCTACACCAACTAGAATGGAACACAACAACAAAGCAGAGGAAGCAGAAGGGTATGACTTAAAAATCACCATCATAAAAATGATAGAGGCCCTCAAAGAAGATATGAGAAAATCCCTTAAAGAAATAGAGGAAAAAACAAACAAAAAAGTGGAAGAAATGAACAAATTCCTTAAGGAAAGTACAGAAAGCCAAGAAAAAACAATTAACCAGGTGAAGGAAACGGTTCAAGATTTGAAAACCGAAATTGAGAAAATAAAGGCAACACAAATGGAAGGAAAGCTGGAAATTGAAAAGCTGGGCAAAAAATCGGAAACCACGGACACAAGCATAACCAATAGAATTCAAGAGATGGAAGAGAGAATCTCAGGCGCAGAAGATAAACTAGAAGAAATAGATTCATCGACCAAAGAAAACCATAAATCCAACAAATCCTTAACACACAATATCCAGGAAATGTGGGACACCATGAAAAGGCCAAACCTAAGAATAATAGGCATAGAGGAAGGTGAGGAAGCCCAGCTCAAAGGTGCTGAAAACATATTCAACAAAATCATCGAGGAAAACTTTCCAAATCTGAAGAAGGACATGCCCATGAAAGTACAAGAAGCATACCGAACCCCAAATAGGCTGGACCAAAGAAAAAAGACCCCTCGACATATAATAATCAAAACACCTAGCATACAGAATAAAGAAAAAATATTAAGAGCAGCGAAGGAAAAAGGACAGGTAACATATAAAGGCAGACCTATCAAAATTACACCTGACTTCTCCATGGAAACCCTCAAGGCCAGAAGGTCCTGGATAGATGTTCTAAAAGTATTAAGAGAACACGGATGCCAGCCTAGGCTACTATATCCAGCAAAACTCTCAGTCAATATAGATGGAGAGAACAAGATATTCAATGACAAAACCAGATTTTCCCAATATGTATCTACAAATCCAGCCCTACAGAAAGTATTGGAAGGAAAATTCCAACCCAAGGAAGGTAACTACGCCCACAAAAATGTAGGCAACAGATAATCCAACTACACCAGAAACCTAGGGTGAAGCAGAACAAATATATTCACAATACCACTGCCAACAACAAACCTAAATCAAACAACCATCAACAATCAATGGTCCTTACTCACCCTCAACATTAATGGTCTTAACTCACCTATAAAAAGACACAGATTAACAGAATGGATACGAAGACAGAATCCATCCTTCTGCTGCATACAAGAAACACATCTTAGCTCCAAAGATAGACATTACCTCAGGGTAAAGGGTTGGGAAAAGATTTTCCAATCAAATGGAAATAAGAAGCAAGCAGGCGTAGCTATCCTAATATCTAACAAGCTAGACTTCAAACCAAAACTAGTCAAAAGAGATGAAGATGGTCATTTCATATTCATCTCAGGAGAAATCCATCAACACAAAGTCTCAATTCTGAACATCTATGCCCCTAATACAAAGTCACCCACATTCGTAAAAGAAACACTACTAAAACTCAAAGCTCATATAAAACCTCACACACTTATAGTGGGAGACTTCAATACACCACTCTCAACACTAGACAGGACCACAAATCAGAAACTCAACAAAGAAACAAAAGAATTAACAGAAGTTATGTCTCAACTGGGGCTAACAGACATCTATAGAACATTCCATCCAAAGACAAAAGAATATACCTTCTTCTCTGCTCCACATGGAACCTTCTCTAAAATCGACCACATACTAGGAGACATAACAAACCTCAACAGATACAAGAGAATAGAAATAGTCCCCTGTATCTTATCGGACCACCATGCTTTAAAATTGGAATTCAACAACAAGACAAATAGCAGAAAACCTGCAAACTCATGGAAACTGAACAATGTGCAATTGCACCACTCCTGGGTCAAAGAAGAAATAAAGAAAGAAATTAAAGACTTTCTAATATTCAACGAGAATGAGGATACAACATACCCGAACTTATGGGACACCTTGAAAGCAGTGCTACGAGGGAAGTTCATTGCACTAAGTGCCCATATGAAGAAAACAGAGGATAGTCACATAAATGAATTAACAGCGCAACTGAAAACCTTAGAACAGAGAGAAGCGAATTCACCCCGCAGGAGCAGACGCCAGGAAATAATCAACTTGAGGGCTGAAATCAACAAAATAGAAACCAGGAAAACAATACAAAAAATCAATGCAACAAAGAGTTGGTTTTTTGAGAAAATCAACAAGATTGATAAACCTTTATCCAAATTAACGAAAAAGCAGAGACAGAACATGCAAATTAACAAAATCAGAAATGAAATGGGGAACATAACAACAGACACAGAGGAAATCCAGACAATTTTCAGGTCATACTTTGAAAATCTGTATTCCACAAAAATTGAAAATTCAAAGGAAATGGACAAGTTTCTGGATAACTATCACTTACCAAAATTAAATCAAGAACAGACAAACAACTTAAATAGACCTATAACCCGAAATGAAATAGAAGCAGTCATCGAAAGCCTTCCAACGAAAAAAAGTCCAGGGCCAGATGGATTCAGTGCAGAATTCTACCAGACATTCAAGGAAGAACTAATACCACTACTCCTCAAACTGTTCCACAAGATAGAAACAGAAGGTTTATTGCCAATCTCTTTTTATGAGGCCACAATAACTTTGGTACCCAAACCTCACAAAGACACAACTAAGAAAGAAAACTACAGACCAATATCCCTGATGAACATCGATGCAAAAATACTCAATAAAATAATGGCAAACCGAATTCAAAAATACATCAGAGAAATCATCCACCATGATCAAGTAGGCTTCATACCTGGATTGCAGGGATGGTTTAACATACGAAAATCTATCAACGTGATCCACCATATAAACAAACTGAAAAAGAAAAACCATATGATTATCTCCCTAGATGCAGAAAAAGCCTTCGATAAAATTCAACACCCTTTCATGATAAAGGTATTAGAGAGGTCAGGGATAACAGGAACATACCTAAACATAATAAGAGCAATATACAGCAAACCAACTGCCAACATCAAACTGAATGGAGAGAAACTTAAGCCAATTCCTCTAAAATCAGGAACAAGACAAGGCTGTCCTCTCTCTCCATATCTCTTCAATATCGTACTAGAAGTTCTAGCTAATGCTATAAGACAACAAAAGGAGATCAAGGGCATCCAAATTGGAAAGGAAGAAGTCAAACTGTCTCTATTTGCAGATGATATGATAGTTTACATAAGCGACCCAATAAACTCTACCAGGGAACTCCTACAGCTGATAAACACCTTCAGCAAACTAGCAGGATACAAGATAAACTCAAAAAAATCAGTAGCCCTATTTTTTTCAGACGACAAAGAGGCAGAGAAAGAAATCAGAGAAACATCACCCTTTACAATAGCCACAAGCAACATAAAGTATCTTGGTGTAACGCTTACCAAACAAATAAAAGATCTATATAATAAGAACTTTGTGACTCTAAAGAAAGAAATTAAAGAAGATACCAGAAAATGGAAAGACCTCCCATGCTCTTGGATAGGTAGGATAAACATAGTAAAAATGGCAATCTTACCAAAAGCAATCTACAGATTCAATGCAATCCCCACTAAAATCCCACCACAATTCTTCACCGACCTTGAAAGGATAATAATTAACTTTATATGGAAAAACAAAAGACCCAGGATAGCCAAAACAACCCTATACAATAAAAGAACATCAGGAGGCATCACCATTCCTGACTTTAAGCTCTACTACAGAGCTATAGTTCTGAAAACAGCCTGGTATTGGCATAAAAATAGACAGGTAGACCAATGGAATCGAATTGAAAATCCTGATATTAATCCATGCACCTATGAACACCTGATTTTCGACAAAACAGCTAAAATGATACAATGGGGCAAAGAC